GCCATCCTTGATCTCTCAGCATTCTTTGATACCATTGACCATGGTATTCTTCTTGACCGGCTCAGGGGATTAGGGCTGGAGGCATGGTGTTACTGTAGGTTCTTCTTTCTCCAGATTGGTTCCAATTGGTGTTGTGAGGGTGGGGAATTGTCCGCCCCTAAGCCTAGCTTTGCAGAATGCATCAGCGTGCTCATGATACTCAGTTTCCAGCCAAGTGATGCTGTCTCTGTTCTATCCCAGTGTCTGGAGACTGGGGGGTCTGGATGGGGATAAACAGGTTCTGATTCAATCCTAGTGGCTCTAGATCCCCCCCCCCGGATTTTCTGGAGATTTCCCACACCTGGCTCTAGGTGGACTTCCCCATTTATAGCTGGTACACAATCTAGGGTTTCTCTTGGACTGATGGCTCCTGATTGAAGAACAGGTAGCAGCGATGGCCAGGAACTCTCTTTCATAACTTTATCTCATGGGCCAATTGTGCCCATTTCTGAATCAGGAGGCCCTGCTCATTGTCACTCATGTCTGGTTGGATTTCTGCAATATGCTCTACACGGCACTATCCTCGAAGACTATCTAGAAACTGCAGATGGTCCAGAATGCAGTGCCACAGGTAGTAATGCGTGTGCCTTTGTATGCCCAAGTAACATCACTTTTCATGTGCTGCACTACCTCCTAGAAGGCATATGGGTGCAATTCAAGTTACTAGTTATCACCTATAAATCTGTACAAGGCACAATACCAAGTTATTGGGGGACTCCCCCCCCCAATTGTTTCCACCTATCCCACTAGTCACACAGGGTAGGCATCTCTGAAGCAACGAGACCTAGGAGATGCACCTTCTCTGTTGCTGCACCTGCTCTTTGGAATGAACTCCCATCCCACTGCTCCTGGCCGAGGTTCAGATGGCTCCAACCATATTAACTTTTCATGGATCTTCTCCTGTGCATTGGCCAGAATGGTAGATGAGCCTGTTTTGTGATACGAGTACATATTATTTTGACTAGGCTCAATTATATATATTGTGTGTGGGGAGAGAAAGAGAGATTGATTGCTTTCTTATGTTGATAAGGTACTTAATTTCCTTTTTCTTTTTTGGATCTTGATTTTTTAAATTTTTTATTGCTGTGTGTCATGCAAAGTCATAACTTATGAGAGGGCTGGCTTATGATTTTTAAAAAATAAATGTTGCACGTAATCTTAATACTGTATATTTTCTCACATGCAATACTCAACAAGTTTTCTTCTGCCACACACTTTAATTAAAACAAACCTGAAGCTTAACTAGTCAGAACAGTTCTAATGTAATCTACCCCTTATCGCACAAGGATGGTAACCCTAAGCAAAAGCTCAACAGAGGTTTATTGCTCTGGTACAGGTCTAGTCTAGTCCAGCAGAGAAAATTAGAGAGGGAACTTTCTGTTTTTCTTAGTCTACTCACATTCACAGAAAAAAGAAAGAAGTGACAAAACTAAATACACACATACTTCTTGAGGAATATTTTATAATGCAACATAAGACACTTCCATTGGATAAGTGGGTATAGCGCGAGGTACCTGGGGTTGGTTATTTGGATAGCGGGTCTCATGAGCTGTGTAGATGCTACTTACGATATTCTTTCTGCTGGCATTTAAGAAGAAGCAGTCATTCAGATCAATTCAAGGCTCACATTTAATAATGTTTCCACAATAGCTCTGCTGATAGGCAATGATGCATGCAAGCCACTGAGCGCATGTCTTTTGATACTATAAATTTTGAAAATGCCATTGTGTTTCTACCAAGAGAATCTCCACAGAGACTTGCTGAAAGCTACAAATTCATTAAAAAATAAATGAAATCTATATTCTGAAGTTTACCTACTGTTTTGCATTTCATTCTGCAATTAAATAGCTCAAGGCAACCCGAGAGACAACTGCAGATGAAACTCTGCTACTTCTCTTCAGCAGCTTTTTTCAGGGCACACTGCCAATTAGGAACAAGAAACTTTCTTTTCTCATGCAATAAAATATCTGATGTTTCTCAGCATATTCTTTATATGGATCACCTGGCAATTATTTCTTATACCTGCATCTAGAAAAATGGAAAACTCCATATAGAAGTTGTCCTCTATATTTAGATTAACACAAATGTAAAGAATACTCAGCCTTGTCTCCCGGCAGCTGCTATGTAAACTCGAACCAATGTCAGAGTGGCTGCTAGAGACACATTAACAGTGACTACTAACAACATGAGTTCTTGGCACTGCACAAACAAAAGTCAATGCACAGTCTTCAGAATTACAGTGCAGGTAGGACTGCTATTTCCCAAAAGGCTACTTGCCTTCTCCTAATCAACCTGCATGTGACAATGTGGCACTAGCATAACATGCCTCTATATTATAGGTCATATTTGTGAAACAACATATGCAATCAATTTGCAGCAACAGAGCAAGTGGCTTCTAATCTTGGACTGATAGTGAGAAATGAGATGGCTCCGAAATGGGAGGAAGCCTGGGATAATGTGATTAAGGACAAAGGGACATGACTCACTGGCTTAGAACCTCTGTAATGCTCCTAATTTCACCTGCTCGTTTGGCTTATGACAATAATTACTCTTTTTTCTGCACCATAAGAATAGCACTGCAGTCATCAGATGTTTTAGGTCACAACATGTTGCAGGGATTCCAATGATCTAGTTAAGACTGGCTGCACTCCTAATTTGAAGACTGTGTGGCATTACTGGAGAAACCACTACCAGAGGAGAAGACAAACCAAGCAACTGCAACCACTAACGTACGGAGGAATATGTACCATCTTCTCTGCAAGTCTTCAGGACTACCAAAAAAAGATGCTTATTGCACAGCATCACCACAATGTCATTGCTGTTTCCAATTAATCTTTTTCACATCTTTACTCTGCCTTGAAAAACTGGAAATAATTTTCCTTCCCTGAAATTAATGCAACTATGCCTGGTTCCTGTCATTAGGCAACAGCGACAAACTACATAGGAATTCTAATGCCCCAGCATTTGGAGATACAAATCAGATCTGATTGTGGAACAGCATGGGAAAACTTCATGTATGCTGGAGAAGAGAAGTAAGGCATATATAAACTTTAATTAATTAAAGGAATAACTGACAGCAGAAGGATATGTAATGATAATTCAAAAATAATGCCAAAGCAAGCAAAAGAGACAGAATCCTTCAGCTTTCAGTCAAACCTTGAAGAGCAAGATTAGCACTAGATGTTCTTTATTTTGATCTTTCACAAGCTACCTAACAAACCAGATGACTGCTCCAGCTTAAAGTGAAAATGTATTCAACTATTCCAAAAACTCTGCCAGTTTGAAACTAAAAGTTCTCTCATGCTGGCTAGGAATGTATAAATCATGACCGACATCTTAACAGACATGTTCCATGCTCAGTACCGATCATGTACAAGGCCACCCAAAAGGCTTAGATAACTTCATAAGCCAACACAAGACTAGGATGAGATATAACAATTTTGCATGTCCCAGGGACTCCATCCTTTGCCTCTGGACTTAGAGCAATAAGGCATGAAAGGTAACTCTCACAGACATACTTTGTGGTGCTGCACAACCTAATTACAGGTTATGGAACATCGTTATCATTTACCTTCTAAATTTCAGTTTCCTGACTTTGTGGAATTTGAACTCTTAAAGTAACAAATTCTAAAGTTTGTTTTCCCTTTGTTTTGAAAAAGGACATTTACCATTTTTGTAATTGGCAACCAAACCCTTTCCCGTATGGATTTGAGTCTACAAGTGAATCTATGCAATGAGTTGCTGGGAGTCGGGCAGCATATAAATTTAATAAATTATTATTATTAAATGAAATTATCTAATGGTAATAACAATTTCATTTCAAGGTGTAAACTTTTATTCTTTCAGGTGTAGTCTTCAAACAAACAATAAATGCAGATTACCACATTTGCTCATTAAAACCAATAAAAAGAATAATGAAAGCTTGCATTATGAATATCTAAAAACAACTCCCACCATCTAGTGTTAGTGAGTACTGTAGCTTGGCCTGTCAACTGCTAGAGAGCCCTATGGCTGTAGGCCTCAGACTGACATTCTCTGGGCTCAAGGCATCTGTTTGATGAATGCTGTGTAAGGGGATTTGGCTGCCATTCTGTTTTTCTACTATTTATTCTCCCTGTGCCTCAAATTCCTCCTTAGAAACTTCTACCACAGCTTCTCATAACCCTAAAAAGGCTTATGCTGCAGGCAACCCACAGTGGAGCAAAGATTTAATTCCCCCTCAACCATACTCTGTAGCAATATAAAGCTGAACCTATGAATCTCATTCCAGAGCTAAATGCGTAGTTATGCAGATAGAAGTACTAGAAGCTGTTGCCACAGTGTTAACAAGGCAAGAAAACCTTGATCAACTTTTGAATCACTGCTCAGAAGTTCACCAAAATAGCAAAGATTATATTCAGAAAGCCTGAATAAAAGTACATCAGCAGTTTTCAGCAAAGCTTGGCAGATACAAGAATGGGAAATAATCAATTTCACACTATATAACGCATTGTACCCATGGCAATTTTTAGTTTTAAAATTCAGTACACCCTTAGACATCAACAACCATATCAATTACCAAGTTTCAGATTATTAGCCGACGAAATTCTTCAAGCAATAGAATGTCAAAATTCACATATTCAGCTTTTAGTCAATGCATCATAAAGAATAAAGTAAAGATATTCCAAGGCTCTAGATCTACAGTCCAAATTCTATGGCTATTTACTTAGAAACAAATTCTACTGAGCAGAATCAAATTTACTCCCAGAGAAATGTGCAAAGGATTGAAGTTTCATATGCTAATGACTACTGGCGTTTGTCATACGAGGGGGCTCAAAGTCAATGCCCAATGACTTCCACCCAAATTAGCTTCCATAATTTTATCTGCAACTGGCCAAACTACAGTGGTAATGCCAACCCACCAATCAAGTACAATCACAGTTAGATGAAGCCCCACACCAACTTTTCACCCAGAGGCCTACCTGCAGCTCCTTATCCGAATACTTCTGAGGATTTTTGCTTCCTTGGCTCTTCTTCCGAAGCTTCTTCAATTCAGCCTGGCATTTCTCTAGTGCATCCCCTTTATTCCTTTGCTCAGTCTGGTACTTCTTTAGTGCAGCCTGAATATGGAAGATGTGTGGGAGTGCTGAATAGCTGTAATAATAATATGCTGAAGACATGGGCAGAGATTTCCCCTGTTGGTAATGAGCATAGTTTATATCCTTCCTGCAGGCAAAAAGGTCTCAACCTCACACCTGCTGCAGAGGACATGTTTTGAAGGAGGGCACATTTATTAGAAACAAAAGCTGTCTTTCTCTGAGAGATGCTGAGAAAACATTTCCCATGAGCCCTAGGACTGCAACTCCAAGATAGATAGATAGATAGATAGATATAAAACAAGGCCCATGTTTGACTTTGGACTTTTTTCTTTGAAACTAACGTACCAGGAATTTGGTATAATTCCTTATAAAGAATAATTTATAATTCTATATTAAGAATTAAAACAGTTACACATTATCAGGAATTATTACCCTCTTTAACTCCAAGAGGGAAGTTTTTGTTGCTTGCTCATAATAGGAAAACCTAGGATCACTTCAGGAAGCTGAATGCTTGGAATTTAAGGCAGACAAATGGAAATACATCCACCTACAATGTGCAGTTAAATGGTGGAATTCACTACACATTATATAATGATGGCCACCAATTTGGATTACTTTAAAATGGAGTTGGATAAATTCATGGAGGATAAGCCTACCACTGGATACTGACATTATGGTCTATTCTGAATCCTTTGAATTAGAGACTAAAGGGCCGGATCTGACAAGCTTTCAGCCTTGCAAGCTGGCAGGTAATCAGTCACCTGAAGTAGACTAGGGAGACAATTAACAGGAATAGGGGAGAGTAGACTCAGATGATGAAGAACCAGATCCTGCCAGGGTGCACCAGCAACTTCAAAGGATCTGCTTAACTACTTAGGAAGCAAGGATAACAGTGCCCCTAAGTGACAGCTGGAACTACTTAGGAACAGCCACTAGTGCTTTGCTCTCTATTGGAAGTAACTCTCCATTAGTTGTGTTCCTGTATCCTTGCTCTGTGCTTGGACTCTAGCCTCTATGACACAGCTTCACTGACATGGACCATTCTTGTTCTCTGCCACTGCTTTGCCTGTTTTCCAGGACCTGTGCTCCCTGGACGACCCATCTTCTGGTCCTCCCTGTTGTCTCTAGGACTATGACTTTGGACCAGACTCTGTGGACTTCTGGTTCTGGACCCCTGAACTAACCACTCAAAGTTCATATGTAAGACGGGTGGCCAGTTAAATTTCCTAAAAAAAAAAAAAAGCAAACTCTTGGCTTCAACCCACACTGGCACCACTTGAGATGTACCCTGGCTACTATGCAAGATCTTACTTTCCATGTATTTGTCTTGGAGTTTGTGTGTGACTGCTCAGCTGACTCCTTGAATTACAATCCCTTATAAACCAGTTGCACCTTGCTACTATGTGGTTACTCAGCTAGAACAGTACAACTACAATAGTAGCCATGTATTAGAGGCAGCATGCTTCTAAGTATTTGTTGCTGGAGAATATAAATGAGAGAATACTACACTCATGTTTTGCTTCTTACTCTCTTATAGATCTAGTTGACCACTGTGGAGTTAGAATGCTGAATGAGACCGATGACTCTCTTTAGTTCCAACTTTTGTAGCATAAGCATTCACAAAATTTCCCTGAGATTTGATTATATTAATTTTGCACCTAGAGATAGCCCTGATTAGCTCATACACTAGTGAGAAAAGCAACATGGACATGATGAATTTGAAAAGAAAATTTCCTGGTTCTGTTTGGATTACTTAAAACTATTAATGCCTGTCCATTGATATGGGTCACCAGATACTATTCAGAGTTCTGGAATAATGCAGGGCAACTAAAACCATTCTGGGTATAGCCATAAATAAGATGGGCTGCTGTTTCCCAAGCTTTTCCTCCATTTTTCTCTACCTTTCTTACATTATCACCTCTGAAATTACCCTGTACTGAATGCAATACACAATGCAACCCTTTAATTCTTTCCAAGAATACGTGGATCTCCTTTTTAAAAATTGAATGAGAATCCCTGTGGATTTAATTTAAAGCATGTGCATACATACAAATATGCAATAATTAAAGCATAATTTGTCTGAATTAAATGATCTTGAATACATGCTTTTCTTATAACATTTATTCAAATGTTTATTCAAAATCTTGAATAAATGCTTCTCTTAATCTGTATCTTGCAAAAACAGATTAAGTCACATGCTAGTCCTTGCAAACTGCATCCCTACTATAAGCAGAGTTCTCCTTTTGCTCATTGTCAAATAGCTGAACTTTTCATAGCTTCATAATGCCAGGCTAATAATTACAGAGCTACTGATCCAATTTACATTCAGTGAAAGTTGCTTGCTACTTACACTTAGATACCGTGAATCCAGCTCTACTTTCTGCTCAAGCTGTGTTAGTAGTTCATTGTGGAAGGACTTCAGCTGAGGAGTGAACAGAAGAAGCATAATGTTAATATTAATCATAAGAAAAAACTGTAAAGAAAAACAAATAATCTACATTGAGATACCCAACAGATCTTTACAACTGGATAAAATAATGCAAAACAGAATGGCAGAGATCTATAGTAAAATTAAAAAAAATAAGGCAAGGAAGCAATAATGGATAATTGGAATAATAAGCAATCAACAGTTGTAGGTAACATGGTTGCATTCTGCTTTAGAGGACAATTTTTTGAAGATATATTCTAGCCAGAGATTACCTGGTTCAATTCTGCCTTAAAAATAAAGAGGCGTAAGACAGAAAAACAAGGCCAACCCAGAAGTTTCTCATCTCTAGTTAGTATCTGGACAGAAGACAGAGAAGGCATGCAGGTCACCTGTTCACAGACTCCCCCGCTAGGCTGAGATTCAGCATATTTCTATGTAAAATTACTGGTAGTCCTCAACTTGCAACCACAATTGGGACCAGAACTTCTGTTGCTAAGCGATGCGGTAGTTAAGTGAGTCATGCCTGATTTTATGACCTTTTTGCCATGGTTGTTAAGCGAATCACACGGCTGTTAAGTGAATCCAACTTCCCCATTGACTTTGCTTGTTGGAAGCCCCTGGGAAAGTTGCAAATGGCAATCATGACCCAAGGACGCTGCAAGCATTGTAAATACATGCTGGTTGCCAAGTGCCCAAATTTTGATCACATGACCGCAGAGACACTGTGACAGTTGTAAGTGCAAGGACTGGTCATAAGTCACTTTTTTCAGCACTGTCGTAACTCCAAACAGTTGTTAAACAAATGGTCTTAAGTCCAGGACTACCTGCATCTCTATTTCTTATCCTTTTTAATGAGGCTTAATTGGCCACTTTACTTATATGTCAAGGCCTGAAGAAAAAGTCCTGAGTGGCCATACCTTAATTTTCCTGGCTAAAATGTAAAATTTACTTCCCCTAATTCAGCAGGAAGCTACTTGAAGCCAGTTGGTCCTGTGATTTCTTGGACATTTCAAAAAGCCAGCACGTGACTTGCAATTTTGGCTCACAGTTTATTCAACTGAGGTCCCTATTCTTATTTAAAGGGCTTGGCAGCTATTCTAGAGCAGATGTGTTTCAATTTTAAATCCACGTGTATCAAAGGCACTGCAGGCTGCCCCTTGGCCAGGCTCTGCAAAAAGACAAGTCAACAAGAACACAAGTACTTACCATCTCTTCTAACTGATTTTGAATCTGCCTATGGACTTCAGCCATCTGGAACAGAACATCCCCTGGGAAAAGTAAGACAAAAGAAGGGAGACTAAATAAAAGATTCAAGAGACTGTTCTGCATCAACTTTCTCTCCCCCTCCCTCCATCCCAACTACAGATCTACAGTCTTGGTTAACCTTTCCCATTTGCTGAAGTCTGAAACAAGGAAAGCTTGTTTCAGAGATTCATTTAAGACTAATTTAGATTAGAAATGAAATACGCAACAGTGGCACCCAGCCAAGGGAATGAAGACAGGAAAAGCAGATATTGATCCTTGATGTCTGGCTTGTCTGTCACATTAAGCAATGTAAAACATAGTGTAACGTGCAAATCAGGCTGCTCTGATTTGCTCAGCAAACCATGGTTTACATCCTGGTTTAGTGTTACATGGGAATGCATCCAGTGCATGTTTGGTCAGGCTAGGAGATGGCCATTCCTTTCGAAACACTGCAGTAGCTAAGGATCTTGTGCCTTGTGTTTATTGATGAATTCCCAATAGAGCCAATAAAGGCAACACAGTTTTGTGCAAGTTATTTATTCCCTTAGAACCTCTCATGCAGACCTTCAAGCAGACGAATTTCCCTAGAGGAGACACAGAGTCAACACTAGCCCCACTCGCAGAGCAAAAAAATACAGAAGGATAACACTTTAAAGGTTTGCTAAATAAAGGGCAGCTGGCACTGCTCCCCTCCAAGTCCATCCCATGTAGCAGGAACATATTTCACACCAGTTGCCTTTTAAACAGTAGTGGCCTCCTTTCAGATATATGCACATCTGCTATGTGAATATCCCTAACCCCTGATAATAGCTGCTGCCAGCTAATTGTATTCCAGATAAGGGGGGGAAAAGTCTGGAGCAGCAACAGTAGCGTAATACCTTTATAAAGGTGGATGACAAATTATGCAAATATATTGCTATTGGATCTTTGCAATATACAGGACAACCTGAAAAATAAGTAACATCCAAATGTGCACTTCAGAATTTTGTTATTCCATTTACAACTGAACAATATGCTAAACAATGTGCACTGGGGAAACTGTTTCCTAAAATGTTAATTTTAGGAAAAGTCTAAGTAAAAGTGCTTGCAAAAATGTGCAAATAGATCACACGTATACATTAGACCTATTCATGAAAATACAAATACTTCTGCAGACATTTTGAAGTTATATATTATATTAAAAAAAAATCCCCCTCTCACCCCTATGGGTGGTATGTGTCTTCCTCAACCTCAGGTCTTTTACCAGAAGCCTGGGAGTTTGAGGGTTCTGCTGTGATGGAGGACTTGGATGAGGAGGTTCAAGGTCATGGGGAGAAGCATCTCCTCAACCCACGGTTCTGCTGTGATGGAGGACTTGGATGAGGAGGTTCAAGGTCATGGGGAGAAGCATCTCCTCAACCCACGGTTCTGCTGTGATGGAGGACTTGGATGAGGAGGTTCAAGGTCATGGGGAGAAGCATCTCCTCAACCCACGGTTCTGCTGTGATGGAGGACTTGGATGAGGAGGTTCAAGGTCATGGGGAGAAGCATCTCCTCAACCCACAGACTGAGCGTGTGAAAGCAAAGAGGATGAGACTGGCACCACCTTAGGAATTCGTAGTGTTTCGTTGCAGACTTTGGGAGTTAGAGTTAGTCTGGCGAGATTCTGTCTAGCAGGTGCAAGCTAAGCAGACTTTGGGAGTTAGAGTTAGTCTGGCGAGATTCTGTCTAGCAGGTGCAAGCTAAGCAGACTTTGGGAGTTAGAGTTAGTCTGGCGAGATTCTGTCTAGCAGGTGCAAGCTAATAAAGAACAGAGCAATTCCAGAACCATCTCGTGGAGTTTCTTGGGCTGAACCTGACACCTGCACAGTATCTTAGCTGTTCCTGGCATGCACTCTTCTGGACAGAGAGCTCTGATGTTGTTCCTGGGATCTGTTGGAGCCACTCTCCCAGTTTAGGAGTCGTAGTCCCAAGTGCTCCTACCACCACTGGGATCACTTTGGCCTTTACTTTCTATATCCTCTCTAGTTCCTCCTTCAGGCCCTGGTACTTCTCCAGCTTTTCATACTCCTTCTTCCTGATGTTGCTGTCACTTGGCACCGCTACATCACCACCGCTGTCTTCTGGTCCTTGTCTACTACCACAATGTCTGGTTGATTGGCCAGTACCTGCCTGTCC